GACCTGAGCCACTCGTCGTGGTAGCCCTTCAGGGACTCGCCAGTGGAGCGGATCCCGCGCAGCAGCTCGAGGGCGGCAGACGGGCCCCTGAAGGGCCAGTCCTTGGCGTCGGCCTCCGTCGTCCCGTCGCGGCCCTTCCTGGTCGGCAGCTCCGTCAGAGACGACAAGCCCTCCTTGAAGTCGAGGTAGCGCGCCTCCTACCCGTCGCGGGTGATCGCGAGCACGCGGGGGTCGCGACCAGCTCCTGTTTGCTTCTCCTCCTTCCAGGCCGCCAGGTCGTTGGGGAGGAGCCGCCCCACCGCCACCCACCTCTGGTCGTCCAAGCGCGCAAGGCCGCAATGACCCCACGTCACGAAGCGGCCAGGGTTCGAGGTGATGGCAACCTCGACGACGGTGCCGAAGAGCTCGTCGGCGGGGTCGGAGACGTGCCAGAGAGCAGTGGCCGCGACAGCAGAGGGCGAGGCAGCACCAAGGATAGCAGCCAAGGCGTGGGCCTGCTGCATCAGGTTGGCGAGCTCGTCCTCGGCCAGCGGGTCGAAGCCATAGAAGTTGCCGCGAAGCCGCGGCGGGGCACCAGCGGCACGATGCGCGCGGCCGAGAGGTTGCTCACCTGGACATCCAGCGTGGGCGTCGCGAGCACCCACCGCCCGTCGTCCCCAATCTTCACGAGGAGGATCCTGTGGTGCCACCGGAAGTTGGGATCGTCGTCGAACGCTACGGCGATCTGCTGCTGGTCTATGTCGAGCGCCTGCGGGATGGCCGCCATCAGCGCCGACGGCGCGGGGCCCAGACGTCAGGCTCGTGAGAGCCAGGAGGGCCCACGCATCCCCAAAAAACGCCGAGGTCGCCCAGCCGCAACGGCAGTCTGGGCAGGCGACCGCCGCCGGGCAGGCGGCCGGCGAGGGGCAGCTCACCACCAGGCAGACGGCCACGGGGCAGGCCGAGCACTCGAGGGCGTGCCCGCAGTCCCCAGGGGCCGCCGCCTCGGGCGCAGACCACCAGCCGCCGGTGAGGCCCCCGACGAGGGCAGCGATCGCGGCGGCGGGGGCGCCGAGGCCGCCAGCCCCCCCATCCCAAGCCAGAAAAGCTGCGGAGCTCTACGATTACTATCGTGATAATGTGCAGGCACCGTCAATGATGATGATGATGATGATGATGATGATGATGATGATGATGATGATGATGATGATGATGATGATGATGATGATGATGATGATGATGATGATGATGATGATGATGATGATGATGATGATGATGATGATGATGTGGTGGTGGTGGTGGTGGTGGTGGTGGTGGTGGTGGTGGTGGTGATGATGATGATGATGATGGTGATGGTGATGGTGATGGTGACGGTGATGGTGATGGTGATGATGATGATGATGATGATGATGGTGATGATGATGTTGATGACGATGAGGATGACGATGACGATGACGATGACGATATTGATGATGATGATGATGATGATGATGATGGTGATGATGATGATGATGATGATGATGATGATGATGATGATGATGTGATGATGATGATGATGATGATGATGATGATGATGATGATGATGGATGGTGATGGTGATGGATGATGGTGATGGTGGTGATGGTGATGGTGATGGTGATGGTGATGGTGATGGTGATGGTGATGGTGATGGTGATGGTGATGGTGATGATGGTGGTGATGGTGATGGTGATGGTAATGATGAGGAGGAGGAGGAGCAGCAGCAGAAGGGGAGGGAGAAGGAGGAGCATGAGGAGGAGGAGGAGGAGGAGGAGGAAGAGGAGGAGGAGGAGGAGGAGGAGGAGGGGGAGGGGGAGGGGGATGAGCAGGAGGGAGACGCGCGGCGCTGCGGATTCAAAACGGGGACCCAACACACAGGTGGGTGAAAAAAATTACTCTCCCCGTTTCTCGACCAGCCGTTCCCTTCCGCGCCATTCTGGCTGCGCTATTCCCACTCGCCTTGTCGCTCGCGGCGGGCACGGTCCTCAAGTCCTTCCCGTACGGCAAGGGTGGCGCCCCGTTTCCACCCACCCCGCGTGTTCTACAGCTTCAGCAAGGTTTCCCGCTCGCCCGGGGCAGGGTCTGATCGGCCTCCTGGAGGTACGCGGCTTCGCCGCTACCGTGGCGCTCACCTTTTCACGTTCGGCACCGTCCTCGCGGTCCTGGCGCTGCTTGCACCTTCGCCCTCGGCCGCCTCTGAGGGTCTCGCTCCGCACCGGGCGTCCCTCGTTGTTCTGCTTTTCCCTGTGCACGTGGCACAGCCTGCCCCTGCCTGCTCAGCGTCCGACCCGCTTCGTGCGCCTGCGAACCAAAAAAGTTTTCCCACCAGCCCATCTGGCAGTGATGCCCAGGAGAGTTGCCCAGATCACAGAAGCGCAGCGACATGGAGTGGGAGGGAAGGCGCCCAGGGTCCACCGTCTGCCTTCGAGTCGCGGACACCGGAGCGGTGACGGCGGGGAGCATAGCTCAGCCGACGATACGGGCACCTCTCGTGGACACAGACGTCTTGTGGTGCAGTTATCTCGAGACGGCCTGCTTCACCGATCCAGGACGCTCCAGGGCGCTCCGCGCGAACGCGTCGTATTGTTCAAAAGTTTGTGAGCTTCACCTCGATGAGGGAAGAGGGAGGAGGAGGGAGGATTAGGAGGAGGGGGGAAAGGAGGAGGAGGAGAGGAAGGAGACTTCCGGCAGTCGCTTAAGGCAGCATGATGTGTTGAAGGTAATGTTTGCGTCGTGTCCGTCTGTCGAGCTTGATGGCGGGCTTGTTCCCTGGCGGGTTGGCTCGTTGGTGGGTCGTTGGGCTTTGGAGCCCTGGCCCTAGCCCAGGCCCTGGCCTGGTACATTTTGTCGCATTTTAGGCGTCATTCAGGCACGGCACACCACGCATGCACGGCACGGCACTGCACGAGATGGTTATTGAATTCCAGGGGCAGTTGTTTCGCATTCAGGCAGGGCGCGGGCACGGCACGGTACTGCACCTCTTCTGCATTCTGAATACCAGACACGGCATGGCACTTTCCTTTCATTATTAAAACCAAGTGCGGCACGACACGGCACATTGTTTCTGCAGTCTGAAGACCAGGCACGGCATGGCACGGTACGGCATTTCTTTTCACATTCTGAATTCCAGGAACAGCACGGCACGGCATTGTTCTGGACTCTAAGTTCAGGAACGGTTTCATTCAAACATTTGAGGCTTTATCGCATCCGTTAAATAGAGAAAGAAGATAACCATATGTTTGTTCAGATCTTCGGGACCCTCTCGGGTCCATCGTGGAGCCTCTTGGGGCCCTCTGGGGGCACCTTGCGCTCTCCTGGGGGGGAATTTCTTGGGCAGTCTCGGTCTGGTACTGGGAGCCTGTGGGCCGCCGGTCTGGAGCAGCCTTCTGGGAGGCAGCCGAGGGCCAGTCGTGGGGGCCGAGGAGGGTGCCAAGGGGAGCGAAGTGCGACGTGGGGTGGCGGCTCCTGGCACGGGGAAGCAGCAGGCTCGCGCCGCGGTGACCTCTCGCCCCACGCCTGGGCTCGAAGAGCGGGCAAGGGCTCGAGGACTGAGGCTTTTTCGGGCACTCGAGGGCCTCCCTGCGGGGACCTCGTGGCCGCGGCCAGATCCGCCCCGAAACGCCGAAGCTCTGGCCAGAACGCATCCTTGGACAGGTCTGGGGAGAGAGGTTGCTCTCCTCCGCGTGTCGCGTCGCGGCGGCGACGTCCTCGCGGGCGTCGGAGGTTGTCGAACGCTGCCAACGGCCCGGAGTCGGCCTACATCGAGCGGTCTGCGCTGCGATCGCGCGGGGTCAGAAACCAGCCGCACGCGAGGGGTCTCTTCTGTGGAAGGTCCCAGAAGCCCTCCCTGACAGTTAGCAGGCAGTGTAATACTTCCCAGGGTACGAGGGCAGGGTAGCGGATGATATCATCACGCAGTGTTCAATGCCCGCGCTATCTCATTTGTAGTCGCCGTGTCGATCGTCGTCTTCTTGCGCATTGTGTCAATATGACAAATGTTTTTGATTTGCTCATGCATGGTAGCGGTGTTGCTCGCTCGTGCTATTCGTTGTGCTAGCTCTCGCCGCCTCATTCGTACTGCGTCCAGCGCTCGTGCTACGATGCAGGGCATGAGCAGATTCGCCTTGGTGCTTATTCTCTTGGTCGTCCGCACAAAAAGCATACACTTTTCAGTCAGCGTCGCAGAGGGTCCTCAGGCGCGGGCAGCGGATGGAAGCGCTAATTGCGATCGAGCATAGTCGAAAGCGCAGTGAACGAAGCGTCAATCATTGACGTGCAGGGATGGGTGGTGGATGGGAAGGACTGTAACCCAGCGAGCGAACAGCGGCCAGAAAATCGAGGAGCAAGTCCGAGCGAGCTCGACTCAAGGTGAACTGAAGCGCGAGCAGTCTGGCGCTAATTGCCACTGAACAATCGAGCTAGTAATGATAGAGAGCAGACAGAGCCTGTAAGGCTGCCAGACAAGCCGACTTGTGGGGTGATGCGAAGCGGCCGAGAGGAAGAAGGCAAAGGAGGGAAAAGCAACAGCGCGGAACATGCGCTGGATAAGGAGCGAGCTAAACAAACAAAGCAAAGTGTAGGAGGACAGACAGACGGTCGACTGTGCCCATGTGATGGCACCGATGAGCGGAGAAACGGTCACACAGCCACCTCCGCCACCGCAGACAAAAAGAGGAAAAGAGACGAGAGCAACGCGGGGCGAGGCGACAAGCGGCCAAGCCGAAGCACACACACACACACACACCATCTCCGTCTCGGCTCCCCTCGCTCTCTTCCTGTGGGCTCAGGAGGGGCCCTGGTTGCCCGGGCCGCTCCTTAGATCTGTGTCCGGGGACCTGTTCGTGGCTTGGGCTCGCCGTGGCTAGACAGGCCCACTCGTTCCTCAGTCGGCGTTCGCTCTGGTAGCACGATGACTGCATCCTGGCTCCCAGGCGCACCTCGCGCGCAGCTCCGCCCTTGTTCCCGCGGCGCCCACGCGAAGAGAGCCCGCCCGCTCCGCAAAGTCGAGCACCGGGCTCCTGATCGACCTGCTGGACATGTGCCCCTACCTCGTGAGACTCAACCTCAAGAGGACGCGCAGCCTCGGGAAGTGCGGACGAGGGAGGGCGACAGCGTCGGCGGTGCGCGGCATGCGAGGGAGGAGGGAGCAAGAAGGCTGGAGGAGGAGCGCGAGACGATCAGCGGCAGGACGACGATGACGAGGGCGACAAGGCGCCCTTCCTGGGTGCTGCCAGGCATGCAAGCGTCGCCGCTTTGCTGTAAACCCGCGTATATTTGCTGTTTGACAGCGTTGGCCATGGAGGGCTCGCCGGAATCAAGGTCCGACAGTGTCTCAGTTGCGCCTCGTCGCTGCCAAGCAAGGACGTTAGCTCGGGGACAGTAGGCTCCACGTTGCCTCTCTCCTATGCCGCATAGCCGATTGAAATTCAGTTCTAGACATTTGTACTGGACAGCTCTGCAGGTTCCTGGCAGAGCGCCTGCGCAAAGACACATATGACAGGTTCGTGTCGTGTCGACGCGGCAGAGACACCAGCAACGTCTCTCAAGGTTGAACGCCGCCAGCAGCGCGGAGTCGGCAGATATCGAACGACCTGCGTTGTCGGAAAGCCGCGATCGTGCAGTGTTAAGCGATCCACGCAGTGTCTGAAACCAACGCGCCGAAACAAACTTGCAGTACAGATGGTGGAAGAATACGGGGGCACGAAGTGCAGCCAGGTCGTCGACAGAGTTGTAGGTTCGTGGTAGAGCGCTTGACATATACATATATGGGAGTTAACCGGCCCCTGGCCGGAATAGGTAGTGGCCCCCTCCCGGGACGCCCCTCCAGCGGCCCCCGCGCGTTCCAGTCCGCCCAAGAAGGCTCCAACAGCGCCGAGAGAACCCCAGGATCGATTCAAGACCGCCAAAGATCGCTTCCAGAAGGGCCAAGAGGCCCTCAAGCCGCCCCAAGAGGCCGCCAAGAGGCCCCCCAAGAGCGCCCCAGGAGACCAAAATGGCCCCATTCCTTTAGTAAAACGTACATTTTTAGGATATCAGCTCCCTTCCCTTGGACATCGGAGCGGTCAAAAAGCCCCAAGAGGCGCCCAAGGACGCCCCAGGACCGCTGAGACAGCCCCAAGACGGCCCAGGAGGGCCTCCCGGGACGCTCCTCCGGCGGCCCCAGGGCCTCCCAGTCCGCCCAAGATGGCCCAAGAGATTTCCTGGTCGCCCCGAGAGGGCCTCAGGAGCGCTCCGATACGGCCCACGATGGCTTCCAGAAGGGCCACAAGGCCTTCAAGACGCCCCAAGAAGGCTCCAAGAGGCTCTCCAAGAGAGCCCCGGGAGACCACACTGGCCCCGTTCCTTGCGTTAAGCTGTTCTTTTTTAGAAGAGCCCCCAAAAGGCCCGAAGAGGCGCCCAAGAACGCCCCAAGACGGTCTAGGACAGCCCCAAGACGGCCTAGGAGAGCCTCCTGGGATGCTCTTCTGGCGGCCCCCGGGCTTCAGTCCGCCCCAGAGTGCCCAAGAGGCCTCCGAGACGCCCCGAGAGAACCCCAGGAGCGCTCCAAGACGGCCCACGCTGGCTTCCAGAAGGGCCAAGAGGCCCCAAGACGCCCCAAGAAAGCTCCCAGAGGCCACACAGAAGAACACCGGGAGACCAAATTGGACCCATTCCTTTCGTAAAACGTATACGTTTATAATATCCCTTCCCTTCAAGAACGAAGCGCCCAAAATGGTCCAAGAGGCGCCCTAGGAGGCTCCGAGACGGCCTCAGTGAGCCCCAAGAGGGCCCCAAACGAGCCCCAAGAGGGCCCAAGAGGGTTCCAAGAAGGGCCGCGGGCTCTTGTTTTGGGCCGTCTGGCTCCCAGCATACCGCCAAAACCATCCAGGAAGCCTCCGGGAAGCTCCCAAGAAGCCTCCACAGGCTCCCGAGGAGCCCCCGCAGAGGCGCCCAGACGCTGCCTGGAGGCCTCGCAGACGCTTCCAAGACGTCCCTGCGAGTCATTCCGCGAGACACCGGGAGGCATCCAAGATGCCCCTGACTGCCCACGCCCACGTAGTTTTTGCGCGTGCTCCTGTTTGTGTGCTTTACGCTCTCGCATGTTCCGCCTCCCCGCGTTCCCGGACGGCGGCAGAGGCCCTCCAGATCGCTCCAAGACGACCGAAGAGGCCCCCAAGAAAGCCCAGAGACGGCCCAGGAGGCTCCCCAGATAATTCAAGAGGGCCTCGAGAGCGCCCCAAGAGAGCCCCGAGAGCGACCCAAGAGGGCTCTTAGGACGCCTCCCGAGGCCATCAAGAGGCTCCCAAGAAGCCCCGTGAGGCTCCCAAGAGGACCCCTGGAAGCCCCAATAGGCCCCCAATGCGCCCCCAGGAACATGATTCCTTGGGCTTCCGCCCACCGCCTCAACCATGTTTCCAATAGGCTTGCCGACAAGGCCAAAAGTGGCCCCTCGGTAAGCCCCCGGAGGCTCCCCTCCTAAGAGAGCCGAACAAATCATGCTCCCGGAAAGCTTCCCGGGAACAT